CAATTTAATTAAAGAAGCTATAATCATTGCTTCTATGAATATACTGCGAAAGACATAATATGTGATTTATATTCTATAATCTTAAATATTTTTACAAAATTATTTAAATTGTATGATAGATAATTTTATACTACAAAATAATTATCATTGGTTCTATTAATTATTAAAAATAAATTAAATTTAAAAACATTTATAGCAGAAATTTTGTATATTTACAATATATATATAATTATCAAACTACTTTTTAATCACTACCAACTTTTAGCTTAATTTGTTTGAAAATAATACAAAACAAAGATACTCAACATTATTTAAATGAAGAGTTATTCAGTATTTTTCATCTAATTAGCATTTATAAAGGATAGTAAATTTTATATATCTAATAATATAAATAACATGAAAAAATCATACCCAATCTGCAGAATATAATGAGCAACTATCAATAGCCAAGGATGAATTGATTTAAATGCTTTAGGAAGATTATAAGTTCTTGTAATCACCATCAGAAATCATTGTTTAAATAATAAATGAGGACAAATAAAACTTGAAAAAATGATTAAGAAACTTGGAATATGGCCTTATACAATAGATTGTAAACTTTATAATTGATTTTAGAATAATTTATTGAAGATCTTCTCTAATAACCTGAAAAATCATTTGAAATTTTAACTTTTATGATCCTAATATCTGATGAGTATTTCTGACAACTCTCTCCTAGAACAACTATTAATCTGTTCACAATTAGTAATTATGAATTGTTACAAAAATATTTTTGATGTGTAATCCCAGATTAATACCATGTTTACTTCGAAATTGGATTAGAGAGAAACCTATATAATAAAAAAATGAAGTCACGCTATAATTTAGTTTTTTGGTTTTGAGACTATACATAGAATTCATTTCATAGCTTAAGGATTTGATAGAAGAATTGAGAATGTATTAATAAGACTCTTTAATTATCATTTTAAATAGAAAATAAATTGTTGCAGGTTTAATTTTGGATAATTAAATTTTGATTTTTGTAATTTTATAAGATAAAATTTAGCAACTATGATTTCAAGGGAAATAAAAATATAATTCAATAGATTATGAATTCTTAATCTCTAAAAAAAAATTAGAATTTTATAAATATAAATTTATTCTTAAATTAAAGGATATTAATTTTCTTATTCTTACCTTATGAAATATTTACCTAAAGCTATCTATGCTAAAATAAATCCAACTAATCTTCCTTAAGATATGATAAATCTTATCTATGGATATTTTATGGAATATGAAAAATGGAAAAAAATCTTATGGAACTTGTAGAGTTAAAATAGTATTATTTGATGATCAATTTTAGATCCCATAATAAAATTCTTTAATTGGTAAATAGTATTGTTAATTTAATTGAGTTATTTTTTCAAAAAGTAATTGATAAACTGAATAAAGAGATCTCTAACTTAATGGACCTATACCTTTACTAATTTAAGGTAAAATATTGAGGATCTATTTAATTACTTGATAGGAGCTATTTATCCTAAAAAGATAAACAAGTTGATCTCATGAATTTGGTTGAAATTAAGAAATTATGGTCAAAGATTCAGAGCCTAGAAATAATATTTCATCTGTTTTTGCAAATATGTCATTTTATATAATTTTTTAACTGAGAATATGATTGTTTTAGTTTTTATTTAATTAATTATATTTCAATCATTATATATAATTAATTTCATTTAAGAATTATATGAATAATAGTCATTAAATACATTTAACCATATTAACATGTCTTACAATATTATTAACAAGAATATTAACATCCATAACATCCATTTTCTTCAAATATATTACCACTATCACATTTCTCATTACCTACTATCACACCATCTCCACAAAATGTAACACAAATCTAATCTTATAAATAATATCTAATATTACAATATATACATTTTTCATATTCGAATTTATTACAATTCTCATCATCACAATCTTCATTAATGCTTACATATCCATCTCCACAAATTGATGTACAATCTTCATTTTATTTTACATACCCATCTAAGCATCTCTCACATCTACCATTAATACATAAAGAACATTATTAATTACAACATAAACTACATTAAAAACAACCATCAAATTCATCTATATTATAATCATCACATTATTCTATTACTTCCACAATTTAATTACCACCACAATAATTTTAACATAATTCTATATCAAATAATAATCATTTTAACATTATTAACAATAACCAAATTCACAACTATCACAATTTTAAGGACATTCGAATTAAAATTTATTATTACAATACAAATCATCTCTTTATTAATAATTATCACATTCCTCTAATTCTACTATTATATGATCTCCACATTTGCTTCCACAAATTACTTCTACTTAATTCCAATACCATCCATTTAAACATTAATAGCAATTCCCTTTTATACATCTTATGCATTCTCTTTCACATTCTTTCACATTCATTAATATAACAATAATCCATATTGTATTTTATCTATATATCTGTACAATCAGGAATACATTAAGGAAATTGATAAATTTATCCTTATGTACAACCTTAATAAACATCTTATACACAAATATCACAATTTTCTATACATGAATATTTATAATCATATCATCCATCAAAAGGTATATCATTACCATCATTAAATTCTTCAAATTTTGTTATTTTTATATTTAGAAACTCTTATAATCTATTTAGAATCCTTCCTCACATAACAGACAGTATCCATTAACACAGACTTAACATTAAGATTAACAATCATATTAATTTTAAACACAACCATCTAATCCAATAAAATTACCATCATCACATAATTCAAATTCTTAAATACTTTAATTACCACATTCGTTTATACATTCATTAAAATCATTCAAAATATAACCACTTTAACATTATTTACAAATGCCTTTATCACAATAAAAACAATTTTAAACACATTAATATTCACAATTAAAACATTTGTTAAATGATATATCTCCATTATCTTATTCTTGCTTAATATAACATTCTTCGAATCCTGATAAAATACCATCACCGCATTTAGTTTTACATCTCTTATTTTATAAATACCATCCATTTATTTCATCACAAGATATGCATTCCCCATTAATTCATTATTAGCATTCATTTTAACATTAATATTTACATAAATAACAACTACCAAAAGGAATAATATCATCATTTTCGCAATCTTCATTATTTATTTTAAATTATATCTCCGCAAATACAAATGCATTTATTTAATAATAATTGATATCCATCTTTACAACTTTAGCAAATTCCAAATTAATATTAATCACAATTAATATCCCATAAAAAATTATAACTTATACATGATTCCTAAAACTCATCACAATTTTCACCCACATTTTGATTCCCATAAATTATTTAAATTAAAATAATATCCAAAATTATTTTAACATTTTAAACATTAACCATAAACACAATTATTACAACCATCTGAAAATTTATGCAATTAACATATTCTAATCCATTAAATTAATTATTCCTATATCACATTCTTCATTCCCAGGTTTTATACCATCATCACATACTGATTTAAATTTATTATTAATTAAAGTATATCCATAATCACATTGTTAACACTATCCAAAAATACTTTTTGAACATTCATTCTAACTTGTAAAATGCATTAATTGCATCCATTGTTTAATTAAGAATTAGAATCCTCACATTCTTCATAGTCACTAATAATTGAATCTCCATATTAAGTGTAACAATTATCATTTTCATAATTTAAATACAATCCTAAAGACTCTTTACATTTTAAACATTAACCGTATGTGCAAATTTAACATTATGGAGAGCATATAATTGACAATTAATACATCCAGAATCTCCTTAAATCATTTTATCTCCACAAATAGGAAAACATTATTTTTTGGATTAATTTAAATAATACCCATTTTGACAGGATACACAAATTCCAAAGGAACATAGATTACAAGTTTTTTCACATTAAAATGAATAATTTGAACATCCATCTTCGATTATAAAGTTAAAATCATCACAATATTGAAATTTTGAGATAATACCATCACTGAAGATAGTATATTATCTCCACATGTTGAAATGCACTATTTTAGTTTTTAATTTAATTTATATCCTTAATTACATTGTTAACATTTACAAAAAAAGGCATGACATAAATTATTCTTAACAAGTTAGTTGCCATAAATCGCATCCATCATAAGAAATTAAATTACCATCATCCCACTATTCTTAGTAGTATGATACAATTTTATCTCCACATATAGGAGCACATTTACCATTGTTGTTTAATAAGTAAAATTCTGATTTGCATTTGGTATTAATGATTGAAAATTAAGCAGAAATACAAACACCAAAAATACATAAATCACATAAATTAGCACACATATTACATCCATCGATAGGATTATCGTTTCCATCATCGCACATTTCAGCTCCAGCAACAATTAAATCTCCAGAAATAGTAACACATTTAAAAATAGCCAAATTAATATAATAACCAATTGATTTATCAGTTTGATTAAATTTTCCTTAGATATAGGATGCACATTAAGATTAACTAAAAATTAGTAGCACAATTTAGTACAAATTTATAAATTTAAACATTCTAAACAATAAGTAGGAGTGCATGATCTATATATGTGTTATCAAAATAGTAAGTTTTATTTATGCATGTAGAAGTGGTTTACATTTGTTGGAAATGATTATTTTCCTGTGCATTATGCCCACGTTGGGCCAGTACAAAAAGTACAATATTGAATACACTAATTAATATTTATTATTTACTTCTAAAATAAATATAAAATAATCATAAATAATACAAAAATTATCTTCGATTGATGCTTTATTTGATTTACATTAGAGTTCTACTCAAAAACTGGATGTAAAGTGTGATTCTATTCTATCAATAATTATATATTTGTCATCTTTAGCTCTGCAAATATTATTGTCTGTAGTTGGTTTACTAGATCTTGTCAATGAAGCTGAAACTCCTCCAAATCATCGTCAAAACTTCCATCAAAATCATCTCCTAAAATGATGACAAATTTAAATCTAAAACTATAATGAAGATTTAAATTGAAATTTTTAAGAAATTTTACTTTATATCAAACTAATGGACCACTTAATACTCTTTTTTACAAAAATAACTAAAATAAATAGCAAAATTAGTATTCAAAAAGCGATCTTTAGTTTTCAAATATGTACCTGAATTTGATACTGTTCCAACAATAGAATTTACATCTGTATCAGTTGTATTTGAAGAATCATAAAATTCTTTTTTATATATTTTGAATCTAACATTTAATAGAGTTATGAATAATAAAAGTTTTCTATATGATATATTTATACTAGCAGCAAATTAGTCTAAATCTTAACAAACTCTTGTAGTCTCAATTCCATATGATGGACAATTAGATACACATTTATTTTTATAAAGAAATTCTGTTGAACAAGAATAACATTTTTAATCAAAATCACACCAATCACATGATTCTTAATATTTCATTATATCCATAACAACATCCCCAAAACCCCAAGATTGTAAACCAGATTAACTTTTAATTAATATTATTATATTAATACTCCATAGATACTTATAAGATTAATATAGGATTTGTGATGTTTGATTTTAATCTAGTTTCTCATCTATAATATCCAACATTAGGATTAGTGCAATTTGTATCTGAATATAATTAATCAGCATTTCGACCTGTCATTACTTAAGACATTGTGTAGACTGATGCAAATTAAATATCATCGAGTAATACATGAACTGCTGAATAATCAATCCAATTGTTTTATTATTGTTGCTCAAAATCTTATAGAGGAGATATTATAAGGAATTGATAACTTTATACTAAATCCTTCATTATAAAAAAATTAACCTTCATAATTTTTACTAGAGAAGCAAGGCATTGTGTTTATCTTTTCGGAATAAATTAAGTTAAAATTCATTGGATCAGGAACCAACATCCATAGAATTGTAGAAGGAAATGAAGTAGTATCAAAATATTTTGTATAAGGGAGAATATCTAGATAATTATTTAAATCAATACATTCATTGAATTGACATACGTTATTAGAATCTGGAATTCTATAGTAATTACATTCTGTTACACAACTTTTTGTATTATTTAAATATTCAATAAAAGCATAATTAGTAGGATAATTATCACAAGTAGAGAACTTATTCCAGTCCTTGTTATGTGAATGATTATGAAGGAGATGATCCTTAAATATCATAAGAAATTGTAACAAGTGAACCTGGAGGCCTTATGAAATAACAATCTAAAATAACTTTAACTTAAAAATGTGGAGGCAAATTTACTAGAATAAAATGTGCTATTCCTAAATTTCTCTAACAAAAAAAAATCTTATGTCGTTATCTTTGCATTTATCAGACGATCCAATCTCATGAATTTCTAAACTTCCATTTGGAAGTAGAAACAGTAAAATCTAGTAGATCTTCACTTAAAAGTTCCCATTATGCTCTTATGACTAAACAATGTGAAAGAAGAAAAAGAATTTTTGCCATTTTCCATATTATCAAATTAAACTTTCTATATTATTTACTAAATCTAGTTAGCAAACCCTATTTTCTGACCTTCTGATTGAGTTTATTTTAATAATTATAAAAAAATTATTCTTATTTTATGCTGTTATAATTTAAGAAATATATTGATTTTTGCAAAATTCTTAATGTAAAAGATTAGCCAAAAAACTTTTAGTTTTAATTTTATCTTTAAAATTTAAGCAATAAAATTATCTTTAAAATAAAACATTATTTAAAAACCTTTTTATTTTTGATCATAATTGTATTTCATAAATATTATTCATTTGTTGAATTGGCTTAATATTTCTACTTTCGATTAACCATATAAATTAACACATGGATAAAGATCTTAAGATGTGTCTATTTTGAACGTCTTAATATATATCTATATAGTTTAATATTTACGAATGATTAGTTTGTTGATTGCTTTCTCCATTTAATATACTTATTCTAAATGTCAACTTCTATTATTATGATATCATTAGTTGTGAATTCAAATCC